CATTTCCTCTACATTTCCACAAGACAAAATTCAATAAGAAGGCGACATTTAAATGCAGAAAAGACGATGGCTGATGATGATGATGACGTAGAGATAAAAGCAAAATGGCAACACAACGTCAAACGGAAGCACGCTCAAGACTTGTAGAAGAAGAATAGGGGCATTCGCAATTCTACAGAATAACTTACAAGAAATTATATGTAGTATTTTTATAGGAGGCGCAAGTACAAAAATCCATGGATAAAAATGTGCATACGACGCATGTCGTCTTCCATTGCATCGTCGATCATTTTGCTGTCGCGTTCATATCGTTCATTGCGTATACATACATACATTTTTATGTACACACTGTATGTATAAAGTTTAGTAAATGCAATTAATCAAATGTCATAAAGCGCGTGGAGCAGAGGTGGCGGCAGCAATAAACAGCAACCCAGTAGGCCACCAGGTAGTGCAAATTATTAATATTTTCATCTGCGGAGCGCAACAACTTCCATGACTATTCCCCATGACTAACGCACAGCGATGACTTTGTGTAGTACAAAAAGCAATAGAGTGAAATCGTACGTATTCGATCGTGCGCCCATGCTAACACACATGCTTTTTTCATGTGATCGTTCATCTGATCTTATACACAGCAGCTACGACTTAAGATGCTGAGTACGTATGTAGCTGCTCACTACCTAACTTTGTTATCTACTCGCTTCGTATCAATTTAATACTTCGGCTTCTCCTACTTTCCACCTACTTTAGTCAGTTGCAAATTCATTGCTACTCAAAATGTACGTGACTAGGCAATGCATTTTTGTAGGACCTGTAAGTCAAACTGGCAAACTGGCTTGAATAAAATTAGGAACATCTAACAAATTGGCCTAGTGGGAATGAAAAGGTAATACATAAAGCTTTTCGCCAAGTGTTTCGTGTTTATCCTGATACGCAGTTTTGCAGTTTGTTGATACGCGGTTTTGTACTTTAAACGACGATATAGTATACTATGTGAAGCACTAATTTTTTATAAGTGTTTAGGGGATTTTAAACGGATAATTCCTAAAAATAATATTTAGATTAAGCTGTCGAGTGATAGCCAGAAATCGACAGGCATACGGCTCAAACCCCTTGAGGACGGCAAGAAATTCAGATTTAGCGCGCAAGCTGAGCTCATAAGGACTACAAAACCTAACATGTGAACCGTCAACGTCTAGCACAGCAAACTCCCTCCCAGAGCATAAGCCCTCCCCGGGTACATAAGCGGCCAATAGTAGAATCTATGCACGTGCCGCTGCGGGACTAAAGATGAAGTCCATCTCACAGTCAGAGCAGAGCCTTTTTGGAATGCTTAAAGAAAATCGGCAACGATCCTATGCCCGAGGATTTAAAGGATGAGCGCGAGAAAGATACGCTTTCTAAAAGTCATGACCGGACTCAGGACATGCACCAATTCTGTGGCGATATACACCGGACTTTTCCAAGCTGAACTAACAGCAATCCACGAAGCTGCAAGCTGACTTATCCGTTTCTGACATGACCAGCATTCAGTGCTAAGCAATTTTCTGAGAGTTGGGCACATATTAAAGCACTATCTTGTGAAAAATCCTGGCATACTCTAAATGAGCATACAAAGCGTCACGTCACACTTACAGTATTAGTACCAGGCCACAAAAATATATATCAGAGAATTACATGGAAGATGAACCAGCAAACAGGGAATAATTTCATTGTATTCGCGCTTAACGAGGGTATTCCCCGATGGTCTTGCAAACACTGGCTGGAAAATAGCTTTATCAATTGCCTGAATAGGAAAATGGTCAGCAGAAACCACGCGTAGGATAGCACGACTCACCTGGCCTAGTTTGGATAAAAGTTCTATTCATGCGACTGCTGCGACCTCGGCTCCGACATGTAATCGAGTCGAATGGCTTATGACCTAGTTTTCACGATTTAGAGAAAATGGTAGTATAGAACATTATCTATATCCCACTATTTTCTTTTGTGGGAATGGTAATACATAGTAAGGTAATTCCATATTCAAAGTTTTTAGGTTTAGTAGCAGCAGAACTTAAAATTAACAAGTGCTTTGTATGCCAAGTCCCAGTTAGATTGGCATTAACGGTTGGTAGTTGGTAGTCATAACTTCCATAATATTTAATCACATTCACCAATGCAACAACACTATCGACAAAATAGCAGAGATTGCTGATAATAAATGTAATGAGCTCGTTGTAACAAGGCAGGCGCCACTGAACTTGAGGCGTAAAGGGCGATGCGCGATTTCCACGTGTGCACACGGGGCATTTCCCCCCTTCCCCCCTGACAAACGTCAATCAGTCCACCGAAGAGGCAACCCAGCCAGAGATGAACTCGCCCATATGACAACTGCATGTCCAACTGCTGCATAATGCATGAAAACCAAAAAGAGAGAGTACATTTCTACTTACATACATAAATATACACTACATTTTAAAACAAGGAAAATTGCGAAACACTTTCTGGCATTACGGTGCATTGCGAAAGAGTGCAAAGACAGAGCGCATTACAGGCGTGCAAAAAATGTACAAAGAAAGGAAAATTTGTTGAGAAAAAGTAAAAAAAAATTAGACGCTCTTCTCCCCGTTTACATACAGTGGTGGACACATAATTAGTCACATTATTTCTTTCCAAATTTGGCCATTTATTTTTTTTTACAAAAATATATCTACACCCCTATGGCGAGTGCCGACCAGTAGTAGATAAACGACTGTTATTCGATTATGTATTATCCATCGTATTTTCAATGTCGTTTTCTCGTTCAATAAGTGAGTATAAATTAGTTTTCGTCGCATATCCCGGAGGTCGGTGAATTAACTCAGTGGTCGACAAGAAACATTAAAGAGGGGTTTCCACAGGGTGGTGTCCTATCCCACCTATTTATTAATTATTATTTTTCAAAGCTCCCTCAACCACTAGAGGGGCTCGCTATTGTCTGCTGTGCTGGCGATTGCTCGATAATGGCTTCTGGGAGTGGAATTGATGACTTGCCAAGCTTTCTTGATTCTTCACCGCAAGGAGCCTAACCTTCTCCCCTACAAAATCCTTATTCACCACCTCAACGAAGGAAGTCAAGACTGCAACTGGATGTTCACGTCGATGGTGAACCAATGCCGGGTGTGAATAACCCAAAAATCTTCGGAGTCGGTCTCGAGTTATATAGACTCTCGACCTGTGAATGCCGTTCTAAGCAGAGATGAAGTCCTCGGGAGGCCCGCACTACAATAGCCCAAATTCGCTGTGGCTATTGCAGCTTGAGCAGAATAAACGAACGCTATAGTAGCCGCTACAACAATAACATAATGAATTCAAAAAAAAAAAAAAGCAATTGTCAAAACTTGTAAAAAAGTAGTGTCCCTAATTATGTGGCCACTACCGTACGTAGCACGTATGTATGTATGTATGTACCAAGAACACTTCGGGGAAAAAGTAAGAGCAATTGAGTTATGAGGTCTTTCGAAGTACATGTTCATTAAAGTGCATCACTCTCAATAAAAAAAAATATCGGTATGTACTGTTTCTCTATCGGAATTATAAAATGTATTATATTTTAAGACTTCCGCCAAATATTTCGGAAAGCTGCACTGATTTGAACATACATATAAAACCGTTTTTTTTTTTTTTAAAAACATAGTTTTTAAAAGTATTTTTTAACAAAAATCACCTGATGATAGATGATTTAATAGACTGAATTGAAATAGTGAATTTTTTGGAGGTACCAAACTTAATATTTCTACGAAATATTTTGGCGAAATCTTAAAATATAATAAAATTTATAGTTCCAGTGAAAAAAAATAAAACTTTTTTTGGCGACGCACCCTAATGTACATCGTAAAAGTCGAAGAAAGAATAACATTTAGATAATCAGCTACTTCGTGTTGCGCAACGAATGCGTTACATCCTTTGTTGGCCATATCTTGAGTGGATGTTTATGCGAAAGTACAATATTGGCATTGTTGTTGTTCTTGTAAATTGAGTTTCCTTGTATGCTGGGTGTGGGTCACTGACCTTCAAGAAAAGTCATCGAAATGAACAACACAACTAAGAAAAACAACAACATTAAGAAGAAAGTTAGAGCAACATAAATAAGCGTAGAGACAACAGCACTAAAAAGAGCAGTGAGTAACAGCAAGAGAACGCAACTAAAAGAAATTGAAACCGCCAAGTAGTAAATCTCAAACAATTCAAAAATTCGTTGTACTACACGAAGGAACAGAATGGTAAAGCTTAGCTTAAATTCTAGGCAGACAATTATTTAATAGAAAAGTTTTCAACCGTACGCTTCCTATGGGAAGCTGGTAAAGGAAATCTTACTATTAGATCATGGGTTAAAAAAATAATTGTCCTGTGTAATTTTTAAGCAAAAAATACAACCGAACAATGCTCATATAAACCAAATTAGTATGGTACCACCTTTAAGGTACCACCTTCCCTATATCGTAAACGGCTCACGTGGTCCAAAGTTATCTGGTAATATACATACATAAAAGGAATTCCGACGAACTGATGACCGCGTGAAATTTTTTCGTGACAGATACATACACAATCATAGATTCGACATGGCTTACCCAGGTCCAACAGAGTGGTAGGTACCCACCATGATGCAATAATACAAGGTGGTGTCCGTTGCACAGCTCGATTAGAATAAAAAGAAAAACGGGAAGAATTAATCCCCGTTTGGGGGAAAAATATAAAATTTCATATTTTCTTCCAAACAAAATTGGCTTTTTTTGCAGTATATTCGTAATGAAATAAAATAAGATAAAATACCTTTTTAAGAAAACAAAATGTGTGTACTGAGAAAAAATAAAAAAATTCAACTATATTATTAGGCAAAGATTTGTTAAAGAAGTAACACTGTTTCACCTAAGGCAGTAGCGGAATTAGAGCGATAAGTTGCCAACCGATAACACCTTGTATTATTGCATCATGTATTATCATGATCATAAAATTAAAGTTATTTCAATAAAAAATTTTAAAAAGTATACTAATTTTTTCCGATATTTTCTACTGTGTGCCAATTGGCAGCTCTTACTACGTTATCCAGCATTCAATTGAAAAAATCGCACTAAAATCAACCGCCTGGTCTAAAACTTCGCTATCACTCGACCAAATTTGTTATGTTCCCATTAAGTATCCGATTTTAATGTTAATTTCTTAAATTGCTACGTACCCTCACCTGATAACTTTTCAAGTAAATTGTGTCAATTCGAATGTTTATGTATACAGCATATCTTAAACGCAAATTTATTCCAAAATTTAGGATGCATACAAACAAAAATAACAAATATTTTATAAATATTTACTACTAAAATCAAATACGTTTATCCTTCATAATTGGTTAAAGAAATGACTTGGAACGCCAGTCAGAAAATTCCGTTGTTGCTTCGTCGTCACTTTCGTTCTCATCGGAGCTATGATTTTCGGATTTCTGCTCTTTCGTGCCTCTGAGTGTTCCCTTTCGTGCCTCAAGATTCATAAATCTAGACCAATGTATCATTTGATCATTGATTTCGTCGATATCTCTATCAAACGCAGATTCAATTTGTTCTCCCGCAATAATGGCCACAGACACCGAAGAGGCCTCTCTAATTTCGCGTTGAAAACGTTCCCATTCGTCTGTAAGCGGATCTTTATATTCTGTGTTGCGAATTTTGGCATCCTTGACGGGATCGTCGAAAAACTTTTCCGGCAATAGAGTATCGATTTTATTTGGCGATGATTTTTCAAGAGCAGCTGGTGCTGGCGCTGACTTTGTTAATTGTTTCTCTGTTACGGCGCACACACGCGGCGGCTTCTCTTCTATTTTTGGAGCAATTTTAGTTGCTGGTTTTGGCGCAGCTTCAGCTGACAGGCCAGGACCGCCTTTATATGTGGACTTGATTTGTTTAACCAGCGAAATTCGCTCCTTGTGCAGCTTTGAGTTCACATGCACTTTCCATAAAGTGGCCGACTTCAGTGTGACTTTGCAGATAATGCACTCTATATGGCCATTCGCATTTGTTTTGGCCAATTTTGAATCGACTTTGTGTTCCGCTTCGGCTAATTTCGTTTTTGTTGCCAATTTTAAACGACTCTCCGTGTGTCGCCCCATTCTGAAAAACTTACGCACGCATAGTTAGTATTTAGAATGAAATATTTAATTAAAAATATTTCAGTTTGATATATTTAAGACTAAAAAATTTTCATTTCATCAGCTTCCATTTTCCACCACCATATGCCATCAAGAGCCCGGTGGCACACAATGCCCTATGAAAGGACATAAATATATGTATGTACATATGTACTACATATGCGTAAGTTTAATTTTAGTTAGGGTCGCATTTAAGTGGAGCAATCATTGCGCTTTGAAATTTGCAAACGACGCAGCACCGAGTTTCAATGTCGCATTGAATCTACAACAATTGCTACGCAGTAATAAAATGCAAAATAAGAAGAAAACCAAAACGCATTTCATACAATCAGTGAGCTCAACGTGGCGTGACGAAATAATACATAACTTCGAGTTTGTGTGGACGGAATGGAAGCGGCGGAGAAGAAACGTGGCGGTAAACAAGTACTTCTAAATAAATTTGCTTATCAGTGGCAAATAGCAACACGTAATAAATATGTTTGTATGTAATGTATATTGGACCGTATCGCCTTACAAGCAAACAAAATTAGCCGTACACCCCCGAGTCGAACGTATTTTTGCAAGGTAGAAAAAAAAATTTTTTGTCGAACCTAAGAGTGGCTTTTTTGCAGTTTTCGGTGGCACCTAGATTCAGCAATATATATATATTTTTTGTATATAGTTGTACTACTCACTTTAATTTACTGACATTAGAGTGATACCTTAGAACTGTGAATCGGTGTGTAAAAACTAGAACGATGTACTTCGAGACCAATAAATTTGGTAACAAAAAAATAAAATTGTGCCCTCGAGGCAAAAAATACAACGTCGCCTAAAATTCAAAAGGACGTAACAACATAGTAAATGAAATGGAAAAAGTCGAGACAAAAATTTTATTGTTTTTCATAAAATGATGTGTGGAGTTGTAATTCGATGAAGTCCATCATATAAATCAAAAAGTGAATTTGGCATTTTTTATTAGTTATGACTTTTTGCATTTCAACGTTGATGTTTGTTACGTCTTTTTGCATTTCAGATGACGATATATATCATACTTGAAGGTCTGATTTTAAAAGTCGAAGATATGACGAAAAATTTAAAAAGGTCACCCCTATGTTCACCCAAAAATAATTTTTGTTTCAAAATTGCCTTGTAAAAATACTTCAGATTCGAAGGCGTATCGTGAACTTTTTTCTTTAAATTTTACTATAAAGGTATTCTCGGAGTCTTGCAAATCCCTTGCACGGCACACAGATTGCACGGTAAAATTGAATTTTTGCCCAAAAAAATAGAAACTTTAACCCAATGTTAAAAAAAATTGTTATGTATGTACATACATATGTATGTCAATAAATATCACGTCGTAGCAATTGCGTTAATCTGTCTATATTCAACAAATTTGTGCACTTTTCCAAAAATAAACGAATACTTGAATGCACTATAAGCACACAAATGCTCGAATGGCATTCATTTTCATACGTACATACATACATATTTACATTATTCTGTCTACGCTAAATAAAAAATAATTATAATAAAACTGGTTGTTGGCCGGCCTTATAGTACATAAGTATTATACATAAATACAAATAGTGGTATTCACCAAATTAAGCAAGTGGCCTGACATTCTGGCAAAAGAGCAGATGAGCTCAAGCAATGACTGCGCTGACAACTGTCGTTGCTTGAGCTGATCTGATTTAGGTGGAAGATAAAAATTATAAAAATTATAAATTTTTTTTTTTAAATTGATTATTTAATATATGTGCATAAATAAAATATAATATCCAATAAATGAGAAATCACATGTCTAGATGCACATGCAAGTGTGGTAAGGTCATTTTCGTGCTAGTCAAAACAACCGCCAATCTGGCCTAATATGAAACATAGGAAGGTTGAAGTCAACACGTGATGTCTAAATGAAAAAAATGCATTGTGATCGTAATGATTTCCCATGGTTCATGAAACTTTTTGAGCTCGAAATTGTGGAGCGACCTTCAAAGAGATTCGAACAACAGGGGAAAGTCAGAAATCAATAGAAGACGAGTTTCTTGCATACAGCCCATTTGAGCTTTTCAATAAAAAAACAAAACACATACTACGAAAATTCTTGGTATTTTTTCAAAAACACTGAATGAGGTTGTAGTGATAACGTTGGAAATTCGTTTAAATATTAGAAAAAAAGTTTAGGGTTAGTGGGGGCCCTTCCCATATTTTTAGTAGCGGCCCCGGATGATAATACAAGTGTATATTGTTAAATGAAAACCAAAACTAACTAATAAAGGAATACCTATGAAGTAATAGGTGTTTATAGTTAATTTTTTTTTTTTTGAAACCAGATAGATTTCGTTTAAGGACTCCGGCTCTTTTGCCACACTGCCAGGTCACTTGCTCACTTTGGTGAATACCACTAATGTTGTGAAGTGCTGTTAGTGTACACGCGTCAGTTCATCGAAGCTAAAGCACGGCTAAAAGTTGCAACAAATAATCATGTTCCACGCGAATATGTACATACATACATACATACATACAGTATTGGCCAAAACTAAAGCATCCCCTCAGTACGTTTTTAGCTATTGCTGTTTTCCTCAAAACAATGAAACCAGAAATCAAAATTGTTTGCATGTTATTTTTGCTTATTTATTCACTTTTAATAAAACAACATACTTGTAATTAATTTTTATTTTTTTCAAAAGTTTAACATAAAATAGTTCATGGTAGTCAAAAATTCAATGGACAAAACTAAAGCACCCCTTATATTGGTGTTAACAAATTTGTTTCCATGTTAATATTTTGTAGAAAATCCGTTATTTTGGATGACTGCAGCGCATCTTTTAGGCATTGAAGATATTAAGTTATCGATAACATCTTGCGATATGCCCTCCCATGCTATTTTTACAGCTTCAAAAAGATCGTCTTTGGTCGTACAGTCTTCCCTGTTAATTTTCGTATTAACGATCTCCCATAAGTTCTCAATGGGGTTGAGATCAGGGGACTGAGCTGGCCACTTTAAAACGTATATGCCATTACGCTGCAACCAAGTTTTACAAAGGTTAGAGGTGTGTTTAGGATCGTTGTCCTGTTGCGACTTCCATCTCAATGGCATCTCCTCTTCAGCATATGGCAGCATTACGTTTTTTAAAATGTCGGTGTACATGAATCGGTCCATTATTCCTAGTATTCGGTGAATTGGTCCGATCCCTTGCCCAGAAAAACAACCCCACACCATTACGTTACCACCACCGTATTTGGTAGTTGCAATGCAATACTTGGGGTTGAGTCTCTGGCCTTTCGGTCTTCTCACATGTCTTACACCATCGGAATCTTTTATGTTGTACTTCGATTCATCCGAGAATAAAACAGTCTTCCATTTTTGGACCGTCCAATCAAGGTGAGCTTTTGCAAATTCTAGTCTGGCCTTTCTATTTTTTGCAGAAATGAATGGCTTCTTAGCCGGCCGCCGACTGAATAACCCTGCTTCAACTGCTCGTCTTCTAATTGTTCGTTCACTAACTGGCAAACACAAACTTTTTTTAATTTGGATGGAAGAAACTGCTGGATCCTTATGAATGTGTTTTTTGATCAAAAAGTCATCATGTCGAGAAGTTTTTCGCTTTCTTCCCCCAGTATGCACGGTTGTCACATTGCCAGTTTGTTGATATTTTCTTATAAGCCGGGATATGACTGATCTGTTGATCGAATATTTTGCACTCATTTTACGGCGAGTTAAACCACTTTTCCAATCACTGATTATTTTGTCTTTAAATTCTGTTGAATACTTGTTCCTTGCCATTTTAACTATTCTTATACCACGCACAAATTGAAGTTTGAGCTACCTCAATCTTTGCAAAACTTCATTCACACGCGTTTGTGAGAAGTCCCGTTAGGTGGTCCCGTATGTTGACAGTGATGCGCCTTTGTATTTTTAGAAACACAAGGAGGATGCTTTAGTTTTGTCCAATGAATTTTTGACTACTATAAACTATTTTATGTTAAACTTTTGAAAAAAATAAAAATTAATAACAAGTATGTTGTTTTATTAAAAGTGAATAAATAAGCAAAAATAACATGCAAAAAATTTTTATTTCTGGTTTCATTGTTTTGAGGAAAACAGCAATAGCCAAAAACGCACAAAGGGGGTGCTTTAGTTTTGGCCAATACTGTACATATGTACATATGTATGATTTGGCGCTCAAAACTGAGTGAATGCTGATTTGTTTTACATAAATATTCATACGATTTTTCGACTTAGATTTTTTTTGTTATTTTACATAAAATTCTTCATGCTACAAAAGTATTGGCACACAGAGAATTTTTCGCAATGCATGCAAAGTTTTTTATTTTAATTTATTTTCGCTAACTTTTTATGAAAATATAGTACAACAAAAAACATAAAAATAAAATCTCTAAACTTTGTGCAAAACTCGGAAAAATTAAATAAATTTGTGTACTAAATTCCCAATTTCAAATCAAATTTTCTAGAAAAATTCTGCGTATGCAATTTTATCTATAGCCCATTCCATTTTGGTACAACAAAGTGCAAGTTTGAGTTTATGTAAGCCTTTTTAAACTTCTTTGTTTTGATAGCCATATTGTAATATTTAATTTATCTTACCAATGTACCTAAACTGCAATTTTCAAACAGGTGGAAACTCTCGTATTTTTTGTTTTCTTCTATATTTTAAGTTAGAGCTCAAGCAATACATTGGTGAAAACTGCATTCGATTATATGAATTAGTTTTCGAGTGATGCGCGTACAAACATACAGACAGACAGACGAGAATCCAAAAAAAAAAATGTTTATTTGGCTTCTCTTGCTCTAATACCGTTAGTAATAAAATTTAAAAAAAATCAACGCCAGTTTTGAAACTTTGCACTTATATGTAAAAACACCGCAAAAGTGGTATCCAAAAAAAAAATTCTCAAAAATCAACGCGATGGTTTAGCCGGTTGAATCTTGCACTTCATTATACTAAAATTGCATCGGCTACATT